GCCTTTTTAGATTTGTGCCCTTTGGGGACAGATTTGGGTGTCCTGATCCTGATCTTGATCCTACACTGAATTCCACTGACACTTTTCACACAAGAAGTCATAATTTTTGAGCAGCTTTACATTCATCTCAGAACCAAGCATGCAATTCTTTTAAATCTTGAAGTCTATTGTAGAGAAGGTGGAGTTTTACCAAATAATGGGAATGAAGACCAATACTCGTGCACTTTTTTTGATATCACAACTGGCTCAATACCCTTCCCACTACTTTCCAGATCATTTAGAACCCTCTGGCCCACCTTTTTGCTCTGCTCTCCATCTGTGTAGCTGAATCCCCAGGATGATAAGGGCCAGGAAGAGAAGAGCCCCCAGTATGATACAGAGGGTCTCAGGCAGGGAGAAGATGCCAGGGGCAGGAACTGAGCCTGAAGTGGTGCCTGAGGAGAGAAGAGGGTCATGGATGAGGTTTGAGGGTCATAAGCCTGGAAGAACCCCCCTTATCCCGATCATCTCCTGAGTCCTCAAGACCACGAAGTCACCATTCAGATACAATGGGTCTACCTGAACCCCAAGATGTGATTAACCTAAGTCCTGCCCTGAGCTTTCTTAACCAGAACTGAATTTTATTCTAAAGAATTTTTATAAAATAAAAGCTTGTAAAGCTTTGGAAGATTATAGCGGCTACAGCTTCACAGGATTATAAATACCTGATCGTTGGGTCTTTCCTATAGTGATATGGTTAATTTTACAAGAAATACATAGATTACATAGTTCAGATCCCTAAAAATATGGGTGTCTCTTCTATCATATGACCCAGAACAGAAGAATCACTTACTTCGATGGATGGGGGGAACTGTTGTCCTCTTACCTGGAGAGAAGAGGAGAATGGGATCACTGTACTGAGTTGGCCTGGGAAAGCCACAGGGTTATTATACTACCATCACTGCCATGTGGTTATTTCCCAGATATCAGGAGATCAGGCAATAGCCTCTCCTGAAGCCAGAGTGCAGAACAGCAGGTTATTCCATGAAAAATTGCTTCTGGGTACAAACTCACACCTCCTTCAACCCAACCCAATGCCATGGTCTTCCCACTCACCAGAACACCTCACTCCAGCATCCTCCTCATGCTTGCAGTTGCTCTGCCCCCAGGGCTCCGCAGCACAGGCCCACAGGGAGGACTCCCTGCCCCTGCACTGCACCTCATCCAGCCAGATGCGTCCACTTCCTGGGCCAAACGCTGCCTCCTGCAGGGCTTCCAGGGCAGAGCCACAGCCCAGCTGCTGACACACCACCTCTGCCTCTGCCAGGCTCCAGGAGTCATCACACACTGTGCCCCAGGAGCCACTGTGCCAAACCTCCACTCTCCCTGAGCACTGGGTGTCTCCATCCCTGAGTCGGAGCTTGTCTTTGTCTAAAAAGGCAGAAGTACCTCCTGTTACCACCCCTTGTGGAAAGGAAGGAGCCTCTAGGAGCCAACAGGGGGGGTGGGAGGGGCTGATGTACCTGTGCAGGGGGCAGCAGTGGGACAGCTCTTGGGTCTCCTTCCTGCAGAAGCAGACAATGGGGAAACAATCAGGGACAAAATTTGAAAACACTCTCAAAGATATATGCACCCCTATGTTCATTGCATTATTGACAGTGGCCAAGGCATAGAAAAAACTGAAGTGTCCTTTGATAGATGATTGGATAAAGAAGATGTGGTGCATCTATACAATGGACTACTACTCAGCCATAGATGATGATGACATACTGACATTTGTGACAACATGGATGGACCTTGAGAATATCATGCTAAGTGAAAAAAGTCAGACAGAAAAAGTCAAGTACCATTACAATTTTACTCATATGTGAGATATAAATCTGAAAGCAACAAATGTACAAATGAGAAAAACAAACAAACAAAACCCGATAGACACAAACAGCATATGGTGGTTACCAGAGGGAAAGGGGTTGGAGGCTAGTAAAGAGTAAAGGGGGTCAAATACATGGTGACAAGAAATGATTTGACTTTGGGTGGTGGACACACAATGCAGTATACAGATCATGTATCACAGAAATGTGATAGGTTTGTGAAAAACCTATATAATCATCTTAACCAATGTCACCCCAATAAATTTAATAAAAATAAATAAATAGAAAGAGAAAAACACACAGCCTTATATTGATAGAAAAATTAGTGTTTTCAGGGAAAAATCAGATTTTGATCACAACATGAAAGTGAAGGAAACACTGAGGATACAAGGAAATTTGAAAAAAATTAGGCTCTAAATTGCAGCAGGCTCTGCAGAAGATTGGGGGGTATGTGTAGAATGAAGGAGCAGAGAGTACACAGGTATAAAGGAGAAAGGCCCAGAGGTCAGAGGATCAAGAGCACAGGTACTCTGAGGGCCTCTTAGAAGAGACAAATTCAAGCAGAAAAATATAGGAACACGAGGCCACTGACCTCCCAGCAGGACTAAATGATGTGATAGCCAAGAACTGGAACAAATTCCTCTTTAACAGGATTGTTTTCTTGGGTCCTGCCTAACACAGGTCTTTGCTCTGCTCACCATTCCAGGTGAATCCTGCCTCCGTCTCCTTCACCCTCTTTCTGCTCTGCCCATGATGGAATTTTCTCAGTGCCTCACATACGTGTCCCCTCCCAACTCAGTATTTACAATGACCCACATGATCTTTCCTCTTCTTTCCTTTAAGAAACTCTTACTCAACCTCCAGGTCTCCATCTAAATGTGATTTTCTTTTGCCCCAATTACACACTTTCTCATTCTTCATGACACTTGAAAGTTCTGCCTCATGAGGGCTTTCAGCACTAGATTCTAAGCTCTATGAGAACAGTGACTAGACTTCCTTCTCTTCTCTGTCCTCTTACCTGGAATATAAATCTGTACCTACAGGCACTCAATTACTGTCAACCAACAGACTGACTTGAGAAGTCGTCCTAGTGGTGTGGATGCATTTCAGAGTAAAGACCATGAGTGTAAGAGACAAAGCAAGCAGGATGGATTCTCTACTCTGTTCCTTACTTACTTTAAGGTGGTGAGCATATCTTTTAACTAACAATTAGTTAGCCATTCCTTAGAAAGTTTATCAGAGTATTAATCACGCTCGCCACACATTCAATGCAATTCCTGATATTTTTCACATAGACTGCTGTCAGCACAGGTATTCTTATTTTTTCCTTTGAAACAAGATTGCAACATGTGGATTAAATAATCTGATTCAATTAAGTTTTGTACACTTATTTTAAAGCCATTCCTTAGATTTGAAAATATAAAGTCTCACTAACAACATCCTACAGGAGTGGCACAGACACACAGGAACAGGCAGTAATTCACCTGCACACGTGATATAAGCTTCATCTCTTGGATTGCATGAACTGTATTTCCAAGGGTCAGAAGGACATTGCCAGAGAGACATATCAGTTTTCCGACACCGGATTCCATCCACCCACCGGGGTCTAGAACCTTCCCTAAAATCAACAGAAGATTCAAGGGTCCCACTGTCCCCACAGCCAAGGTGTCTGCAGATCATGGACAAGGTCATGGCTTCCATGGGGCTGTGGCAGACACTGCCCCAGGTCCTGTTGTAGAAAACTTCCAGCCACCCAGCACACTCCTGGTCCTCGCTCACCATCCTGAGGGCCTGGAACTCTAAAAGGGAAAGAGGGGAGAAGAGGGCACAGTGAGCATTCCACTCAATGCTCCGCATTTTTCTCTCTCCCTAAGATTGTGAACACTCATCACTGACTCTGCTGAGGAGACACCCACTAAGTGGCAAGACTGAAATTTGTGTCCCTTTTCCCGGGCTTTGTCCATTTGTGTCTGTCTATCTCTACCACAATGATGTGGAAAATGAACAGAGAGAAACACCAACCTGGGTCCTCGGCAGGGAGGGAAACCTGAATCCTGCTTCCTGACAAAACTTCAGACAGAGTATGTGAAAGGGAGTGTGTGTCAGAGTGATGGACCCTCAAATATTTCTGCATCCTACCCCCTGGAACATATGAATATATTTCCTTACATGGTAAAAGGGACTTTATAGATGTGATTAAGATAACGACCTTGGGGTGGTGAGATTAACGTGGGATATTATGGATTAACCAGATGAACTCAGTCTAATCACTTAGACCCACTCTCCCTGAAAGTGGAATATGTTTCCTGGCTTTGGTTTGAGAGAGACATGACTATGGAAGATTGATTAGAGATATGCAACGTTGCTGGTTGATGTTGAAGGAAGGGGCTATAAACACAGGAATGCATGCAAGTCTCTAGAGCTTGAAGAGACAAGAGCTAAATTCTTCCCCAGAGTCTCAGAATGGACTCAGCCCTGCTGACACCTTAATGTCAGCCCAGTGAGATCCGTGCTGGACATCTAACCTACAGAACTGTAGGAAAATAAATGTAAGTTGCTTTAAACCACTAATTATGTGATAATTTGTTACCGCAAAAAATGGAAACCAGTACAGTGGGTTAAAACACTTTACCACTGGAGATAACTGAAGAGGGAGCCCTGTTTTCAATGGAAACTCTGTAAGAAATGGCTTTGTCAGGAGATATTGCTGAGAAGGAAGGACCAGAGCCTCAGCTGCTGCAGGAGGAAGTGAAAGCACCAATCTTTATACCTGCTAGAAAGACAGGCACTGTGGAAGGAAGCTTCCTTGTCCTCTGGCCCTTTCAGCAACACCCCTTCAGGGCTCAGGCTCCCATTCCCCGGGGCCCCACCTCCTCCTCCAGCCTATGGACAATGTGCAGTGCAGACCTGAGCAGATGACCCCTGCGTCCTCCTTGTGCCGGCAGTCGTGCTGTCCCCAGCCACGGGAAGGGCACTTCCACACGTGGGACTCCTTTCCTGTGCAGTTCACACCATCCAGCCAGATCTGGCCTGATCCCTCCCCAAAGTGAGCAGAGACCGTGGCCTTGAGGGCTTCTCCACAGCCCAGCTGTCTGCACACCACCTGGGCATCATTCAGGTCCCAGCTGTCATCACAGATGGTGCCCCAGGAGCCCTGGTGAAGGATCTCCACTCGGCCGGCACAGGGATGGCCCCCGTCCACCAGGCGGAGCTGTCCACTGTCTGAGGAGAGAGAGTCAGGCCAATGGGGTATTTACACAGGGACACAGAAGGGCTTTCTGGTTTTGTGGGACCCCTCACCTGAGCAGCTGGCGGTGCTCTCCTCTGAGGCTTCAGAGCCTGCCGGTTCAGACACAGAGTCACACTCGGGCAGCACCTGGGTCTGCTTCCCTACGGAAACAGCAGTGGTCAGAGTGTTAGTAGGGTTGAAGAGCAGGAAACTAAGTTAAACTAAATAATAACCTAATGACGGGGTCTGAGATGAAAGCTGGAAAATGTAAGTAATGTTANGAGTTAAACTCAGTTTAGGTTAAATAATAACCTAATGACGGGGCCTGAGATGAAAGCTGGAAAATATAATTAATGTTATCATAACATTAGAGTTCACCTTTTTTGTGGAGAGTTCTGCTTCTGACAATGCCAAAATTTCTGTTTTAAGCCAAATATATGAAAAATGAGTTTAGAAGAAGGACTTTATTAACTCTGAAAGTGTTGTAGAGCTACCAAGGCAGTGAGAAATTTAGGAGCCCAACTTTCAGAGAAAAGTAAAGGGCAGAGGTGAGCCTCTTACCCTATGAGGACTTTGTCAATTCAGAGGTTATAGCTGAGACTCTGAAAAGTTCAGCAGAGGTTTTGTCAGATTCACAAGGCTTGGGGGACACAAAGTATAATTCAGGGTAGGCCATGGAGGATCAGCCCTGTTAACCAGAATCCTTGTGCCATAGAAGAAAAAGTGAACTCAAACTATTCTTCACAGGGATGATGCTCAGCTCCTAATAACTTCACTTCCTTTTAAATAAGGTGATCCGCCCCTAAATCAGGTACCTCGAGGAAGCAAAATAAAATGCTTTCTAAAGGATTTGTATAATTTTTTCATCTATGATGTCTATCATTAAGAAAATTCCCATAGAAGAGAGATCTCATGGAAAACCGAGAGGAAGAAGGCAACATTAGAAGGATTTTCACAGGGCATCTACCTTGGAGTTATCTGACAAGAAATTTAAATAACGATGAATAAAATATTCATAAAATTAAATGACAAAATTCATACCTCGACAGAGAAATTATAACCAAAAGTAAATAAAAATCCTAAGGCTGAAAGAGTCAGTAGGACTTAAAAAATGAGTGTAACAGCACAGTAGATCAGCACATGGTAGAAATAGTAAAATAGAAGATCAGAGGCAAAGATATAGGATAAAGCACAGAATAGCAAAGGCTAGAAAATATAAACCAGTCACAAAAAACATAGTTAAAAGGTCTAATCTTCATATACACTAAGTCCTAGATTTATAAAGCAACAATTGACAACTAAAAGTAGAAATTAGGAAATGCACAATCACTGTGAGATATTTAACACACCGGTGATGTTTTTTAAACATTCCCACAAAATCTTTGCTATTGCATCCTTTGGGAAGTGAGGTTCATGTCTCCTCTCTTTGATCTTGGCTCCCCTTCATGAGTTACTTGTAAGCAACAAACGCAGCAAAGTTAACACTGCTTGATTCTCAACACTAGGTGGGAAAAATCGTGCACTGTCTCCGTGATTGATTTAAGACATTTGCTTTAAGGGAAGTCTGACACTTGAGATTATTATGCAGGAGAGGCCCTATTTTAGGGGTCTGGTCAAGCTGAACTACCAGGTGCTATCCATGTAGAGATTTCCAGTTCAGTCAAGTCTTCAGATGACTTTAGTCTCAGGCGACATCTAAGTAAAACCACACCAAGATAGAAGTGCTAAGTTGAGTCTTTTTCAAGTGCCTGACCCCAGGAAATCATGAGCAAAATGAAATGTATTATTTGTTTTCAGCCGCTAAATTTTGGGGAAAATTTGTTAGGCAGCATTAGCAACCAGGATACTTAAACATGTTGTCCAGAAATGCTACTACTAAATAGAAAAATGTTTATCTTCAACTAAACTTCTACTAAAGAGAGTTGAAAATGTTTGTCTCCACAAGGAGTTGAACATGGATATTGATAGCATTTTTATTCATAGTAACCTAAAATATGTGCTATTTCTTTTGGATCAAAACAGCAGGACTTGGAAGGACCTTAGGGAAATTATTGATGCAAGCCCTATGTTCAAATTTCTTTGTGGACGTAGGTTTTTATTTCTCTCAAGGAAATGTCTAGTAGTAGAATTATTGGGTAACATTTTAAGTGTATGTTTAATATTTAAAAATTACTGCTTTTTGCCCCGGCCAGGTGGCTCAGTTGGTTGGAGCATTGTCTCGTACACCAAAATGTTTTGGGTTTGAATCTTGGTTTGGGCACATTCCTAGGTTGGGGGTTTGATTGCCAGTTGGGGTGAGTACGAGAGGCAACTTATTGATGTTTTTCTCTTACTAGGATGTCTCTCTCTCTCTCTCCCTCTCCCTTCTTCCCTCTCTAAAATCAATAAAAACTTATCCTCAAGTGAGGATTAAAAAATTATTATTTTTCAAAGTGTTTGTATCGTTTTACATTACCACCAGCAATGTATGAGAGCTTTAGATACTCCACATTCTTGTGAAAACTGGAATTGTCTTTTTAAAAAAATGTCTATGCTTAATATGTTTGTTTGTTTATTTATTTATTGTTCAAAATTTTACAGATGTCTCCTTTTTCCCCCATTGACCCCTTCCATCCTGTGCCTACTCCCCTCCCCAGGCCTTCACCACACTATTGTCTGTATTCATGGGTTATGCATATATGCAGATAAATTCTTTGGTTAATCTCTCCCCATCCACCCATCTACCCTCACCTTCCCTCTGAGATCTGTCAGTCTGATCCATGCTTCCATGTCACTGAATCTATTGTGTTCATCAGTTTATTAAGTTCTTTAGATTCCACATATAAGTGAGATCATGTGATGTTTGTCTTTCTCTGCCTGGCTTATTTCACTTAGCATAATATTTTCCAGGTCCATCCATATTGTCCCAAAGGGTACGAGATCCTTCTTCTTCATAGCTGCGTGGTATTCCATGGTAAATGTCCCACAGCTTTTTTATCCACTCATCCACTGATAGGCACGTGGGCTATTTCCAGATCTTAGCTGTTGTAAACTGTGCTGCTATGAACAGCTGGGTACATATATTCTTTCTGATTAGTGTTTCAGGTTTCTTAGGATATATTCCTAGAAGTGGGATCACTGGGTCAAAAGGCAGCTCCATTTTTAATTTTTTGAGGAACCTCCATACTGTTTTCCACAGTGGCTGCACCAGTCTGCATTCCCACCAGCAGTGTACTAGGGTTCCCCTTTCTCCACACCCTCGCCAGCACGTGTTACTTGTTGATTTGTTGATGGAGCCATTCTGACAGGTGTGAAGCGACACCTCATTGTGGTTTTAATTTGCATCTCTCTGATGATTAGCGACGTTGAGCACTTTTTCATATGTCTCTTGGCCATCTGTATGTCCTCTTTGGAAAAGTGCCTATTTAAGTCCTTTGGCCATTTTTAAATTGGAATATTTGTCTTCCTCTTGTTGAGTTGTATGAGTTCTTTGTACACTTTGGAAATTAGCCCCTTATCAGATGCATCATTGGGAAATATGTTCTCCCAGACCATGGGGTTCCTTTGTATTTTGAGGCTGATTTCTTTTGCTGTGCAGAAGCTGGAATTGTCTTTTAATTTTAGCCATTTTAGTTAGTGAAGTGATATTTCTCCTGATACTTTATTTTGAATTTCCTTGATGACTAATGATGTTGAGTATCTTTGAGTTTATTGGCCATTAGTTTATTCTGAATATAAGTCCTTTGTCAGATACACATATTGCAAAATTTTCCCTACCAGTTGAATACCTTTTCATTTTCTTAATGTTGCATACTCTCTAACCACTGAGCCAAACTGGCTAGGGCCACATTTTAAAAAATTATTGTAACCTTATAGTAAGAGTAGAAAACTTCACTTTAAAGGATTTATTTACTTTATAATAACTTCTCTAACTTTGTTGATTTTCTTGCCAACTGTGTTGGTTATTCTTGGTCTTTTACGTTAGCATATACATTTTGGAATCAGCTTGTCATTTTTCACACCCCCTCCAAAGTATAATGGTGTTTTGATTTGGATTAGATTTATTCTACACATAAATTTGAAGATAATTAACTTGACAATATTGAGTCTCACAATTCATTTACATGGTATATTTGTCCATTCATTTGGGTCTTTAATTTCTCTTAGAGCTTTTGCACATCTTTCACTAGGTTTTCTCTTGAGCATTTTGTGTTTTAGATGTTATAGGTATTTCTTTTAGTGAAGGTGTCCTAGGAATGAATTCTTTCTGAATTGTTTTCACCTATTATTTTTCAATATTCTTATTTTTATTAATTTTAGACTTACAGAAAAGTTGCAAGAATAGTATAAAAATTCCCAGATAACCTTTACCCACAGTTTACCAATATAGTACTTTGCTATAATCTCTCTCTTTCTCCTGTCCCAATTCTCCCTGAATATGCAAAACATTTCTGAATCAGTAGTTAAAATTGGTAGTTTGCAGATATGATATCTCTTTAATCCCTAAATACTTCAAGGAATCCCCTTACATAACCACAGTACAATGATCAAGTTTCAGAAATTAACATTGTTACAATATTATTATTTAGTCCATAAACTGTATTCAGATTATACTGAGTTATCCAAGTATGTTGTTCACAGAAGAAAAAAAAAGAAAAAAAGAAAAGAAAAGAAAAAAGATTTAGAGTAATGTGCTGCATTCAATTGTCATGTCCATTTAGTTTCTTCTAGGATTTTAATGGTTTTGAATCTAACATTTAAGCCTTTAATCTATTTTGAGTTTATTCATGTGTATGGTGTAAACAGCTGGTCTAGTTTCATTTTTTTTTGCATGTATCTGTCCAATTTTCCCAACACCATTTATTGAATAGACTATCTTTACACCATTGTGTTTTCTTGCCACCTTTTTCAAATATTAATTGACCTTAAAGTCATAGATTTATTTAAATAGGTTAAAGGCTTAAATATAAGACTCAAAACAATAAAACTTCTGAAGAAAACATGAGAGGTAAAATCTCGGACATTTCTCATGGCAATATATTTTTCTGATATATCTCCTTGGACAAGGGAAAGAGCAACAACAAAAATAAACAAATGGGACTACATCAAACTAAAAAGTTTTTGCACAGCAAAGAAAACCAACAAAATGAAAAGGCAATCCACTGAATAAGAGAACATATTTGCCAATGATACATCTGATTAAATTTATAAAGAATTCAAACAACTCAACACCAAAAAAACAAACATTCCCATTAAAAAATGGTCAAAGGACCTGAGTAGACACTTCTCCAAAGAGGACACACAGATGGCCAATAAAAACATGAAAAGATGCTCAACATTACCAATAACCAGAGAAATAAAAATTAAAACCACAATGAGATATCACTTCACTCCTTCAGAACAGCTGTCATTAATAAATCAACAAAAAAACGTGTTGACAAGGATGTGGAGAAATGGGCACCCTCATGTACTGCTGATGGGAATGCAGATTGGTGCAGCTGCTGTGGAAAACAGTATAGAGTTTCCTCAAAAAATTAGACATGGAACTGCATTATGACCCAGTGATTCCACTTCTGGGAATATATCGAATGACACCCTAAACACTGATTCAAAAGAATATATGCGCCCTTATGTTCATTGTAGCTCTATTTATGATAGCCAAGATTTGGAAGCAGCCCAAGTGCCTATCAGTAGATGAGCCAATAAAAAAGCTGTGGTACATTTACACAATGGAATACTACTCAGTCAAAAAAAGAAGGAAATCTTACCTTTTGTGACAGCATGGATGGATCTAGAAGGCATTATGCTTAGTGAAATAAGGCAGTCAGCAAAAGACAAATACCATACAATTTCACTTATACATGGAATCTAATGAACAAAAAAACCCAAACAAAATAGAAACAGACTCATAGATACAGAGAACAGATTGACAGCTGTCGGGGTGGGGGGTTGGGGTGCTGAGTGAAATAGGTAAAAGAATTAAGCAACTCCCCCCCCACCCAGATAAACAGATGTAAGTATGGTGCTTATCAGAATGAAAGGGGGGTGGTGGGGGCAGGTAAAAGAAGGTAAGGGGTGGATAAATGTTGGTGGAAGGGGACTAGACTTTGAGAGGTGAACACAATACAATATACAGATGATGAATTATAGAATTGTACACTTGAAACCTATATAATTTTATTAATTAATGTAACCCCTAGAAATTCAATAAAATATTAAAAAAATGAAAAATAATTAAGCATTTATAGGATACTCTGGAGAATATTTTTATGATTTTTAGATAGACAAAGTTCTTTTTAAAAGGGTATAAGAAGCCTTAAATGTATAGGGAAAAGTTGATAAGTTATACTTGATTAAAATTAAAAACTTGGCTCAACAAAGAATACCATATCATTAGAAGGGTAAAAATAAAAGACCAAGAATTAAATACACAAAATAAACACATATCTACATACAGATATATACATATCTGCACCGGAAGTCATTGTCATGGTAATTTGCAGCATATACCTGTAATAGTCAAGAATTGGAAACAACTCAGATCTACCATTGGTTGACTGCATCAATACATGGTCATGTTATCACTCAATGGAATACTGTACAACAATAAAAATGAATAAAGTTCTGCTTAAACAACAACATGAATTAGAAACATAATGTTGAGTCAAAAAAGTTAGACACAAAAGAAAACATATTGCATGATTTTATCTAAATTTCAAAAAGTGACAAAAATTTCTGTGGTACTAGAAGTTAGAAAAGAGGTCTTCTTTAGAAAGGATGGAAGACATAGGGGTTAGTGGGATGGGAAGGTGACTGACTTCCTGGGTGCTCTTAATGTTCTCTTTATTAATCTGGGTTGGGGTAAATGACTGAGATATACACTTGTTCCTTATACGTTCTCTATGATTGTACTTAAGTAATAATGATTATTTAAAAAATGTTATTCCTCTGAACATTTCTTGCTTGACCTGAAAAATGAATAAACAATGTGAAGAACCATATTTCACTATGAAATACCTTATTTTGAAGACTGTTTTTTCACACTTTCTGCTCTTAGAGACATGTCACTCAAGAAGTATCCTTAGTACCAGTTAGCCCTTTCCCCTCTCTTACCTGAGCAGATCACAGAGGCTGTGTTTCCATGGATACACTCAGGCATGCCCAAGGCAGTCATAGGGCAATTCCACAAGAAGGACTCAGCCCCTGAGCAGTGAAATTGGGCTTTCCAGAGCTGATCATCCCTTTCCACAAAATATGCTCCTTTTGGGGTCGAGACGGCAACTCCACAGCCAAGCTGACGACAGACAACATTGGCATTGGCCATATTCCAGTGGGAGGCACAGAGCGTTCTCCATTTTCCAGAAATATTCATTTCCACTTGTCCCTCACACTGAGAAGTGCCCTTTTTTATGAGCTGCACTTGTGTGTATGCTGGTAGGAGAAGACAGTATTTAAGCAAAATGTCATGTTTTTCTTACCCAACAGAAAAGGGGAGGAAGTCCTACTCTGAATCTCACCTGAACAGATAACTTGAACAGTCCCACTGTGCTGGCAAGTGCCTCCTGGACAAGGCACCCTGGGGCAGGTCCTGAACTCAGGCTCTTGCCCCTCACACCAGAACTCTTCAGCCCAGACCTGCCCATCTGATTCTCTGATAGGCACATTTCCCAAAACAGACACAGCTTTGCCACACCCCAGATCTGCACAGATGACCTGGGCATTGAGGAATGTAAAGTTCGCATCAGACACTGGAATCCAGTCTCTTCCAGAATGCACTTCTACTCTCCCTGAGCAGGGTCCACCCCCTCCAAACAGACGCACAAATCCTAAAAGAAAACAAACAAGCCCAGTGAGTGCTCATGATCCTGGTTTGGCAATTGGAAACATGTCACAGGCAATGGTGTGAAAGTTTTTTTCTGGGGTGTAGCATGGAAAGGGATTTTGACAATTAGTGTCAGAATTGCATTTTAATGAACAAGTCTCTAAAGAGAAATCCAGAAGGATTTGCAGGGTCAGGTTGGAATAGCTGAATCCCAAGATAATGGACTACTACTCAGCCATAAAGAAAGATGAAATACTGCCATTTGAAATAACATGGATGGATCTTGAGAATATCATGCTAAGCAAAATAAGTCAGACAGAAAAAGTCTGATTTTACTCATATGTGGGATATAAATCTGAAAGCAACAGATGAACAAACAAGAAAAACAAACAACCAAAAAGTCATAGACACAGACAACAATATGGTGGTTACCAGATGGAAAGGGGGTGGGTAGTAAAGGGTAAGGGGGGGTCAAATATATGGTGATGGAGGATTTGACTTGGGGTTGTGGGCACACAATGCAATATACAGATGATGTACACTTGAAATTTATGTAATTTTATTAACCAATGTCACCCCAATAAATTTAATTAAAAAGAAAAAAAGAAAGAAATATGAATTCCTTATGTAGGGGCTTAGCAAATACAGGGCCCAAGGAAACTGCACTGTAGTGGGCTTTTAAACTTGGGTGCAGAGGTATGAAGAACTGAGTTAACCTAGAATAAAAAAAGGCCATGGGATTCAACAGATTAGAGGCCTCTCAGGCAGGCAAGTTAGAAGGATATCTGGAGATTTCTGGGGCTAGAATTCTGAGCAACTTTTTCTCAGCAGCCAATCTTCAAGTGACTGAGGATAGGAAAAATCATGAGGGTTGGATCCATGAGTGCATGCCACTGTGGACAGACTTATAGCTCAAGGGAGGAAATATAGATATAACCAGTCCACTTTTATAATTCCACATTTTCTTTTTCTCATAATTTTAATGTCAAAAATTCTAAAAATTTCTTAGGTTACCTGATTGTGAAAGAAGTTGCCCAAAGACGAGTTTGGATGTGAAGAAATCTCAGAGAAGCATAAGAGAAGGAGTGGCTGGACCTAGTCATATCTCTTGGAACCCTAGGATTTGCCAATGGACCCGGGAGAGAGTGAGTTCTCAGGGGAAGTATGCAAAATAGCTAAGCTTGTTGATCTCTTCATACTGGGATTTTTCTTCCCAGACATGGGAATCTTAGCAATTGCCAAGGAGTGACAATAATTGAGGTAGTTTAATCCTATCTATATATGAAGTGTGTATTCCTCTTCTGTTTAGATTCTTGAGATAAGAAGCCAGCATGCTGAAAAAAGAGACAGAGAGAAGAAGGAAGCCGAGAGCAAACAAGCTATAACTGGAGCCTTCCAAATTGCAAAAGCCTCATATGGATGAAATTTGGAAAATTATTTGTGGAAAAAGTTTTAAACGCATTTTATCACCATGTGCTCTTCCCACCTACCATCTAACCATGCTATACTTTCTCATTTCTCCCACTGGAGACAAGAGAAAAACAGTCTTAAGAGTTACAAATGGATGGAAAGGAGAATTAAAAAGGAAAGCAATTGCCCTGGCCGGTGTGGCTCAGTTGGCTGAACATCATCCCCATGTGCCAGGAGGTTACCAGTTCGATTTCAGGTCTGGGGACATGCTGGGGTTGTGGGCTCCATTCCCAGTAGGGAGCATGCAGGAGGCAGCTGACAGATGGTTCTCTCTCATTGATGTTTCTCTCTCTCTCCCTCCCTCTCTAAAAAATCAACAACAAAAAAGAAAGAAAATATAAAAAGGAAAACAACTGCTGTAGAATTGGAGTGTGTGGGTGTGTGTGTGGTAGGCTAAGTTGGAAGTGGATAAATTATGAAGCTGAAAGAGGGGAAGCAAGTAAAAAATTCATGATCATAATTTGGTCATTCAGGGGACCATATTTTGAACAGATGAAATGTAATTCAATGAAAAAAATAATAAAGAACAATTTTTTATAGTTGCCTGGTTCCTGATTATGAGGGTGCTCATGATTATTTATGTATTGTACATGATAAAATTATTTCTAGTAAAGAACTCTGATTGCATAAATATATAAACTTTGGAGCACATACAATAGAGTTTTAAGGTTCTAAGACAATAAAAATCTGCTACAGAGAGTAGGAGAGAGCAGAAATGACACCACAGGAATTAAAGAATTGAAGGATTAGCCTGACCATTTATATAAGAATGAATGGTGACACAGAAGACGATCTGCTTGTCCTTTATTATTTATCCATTTCCATCTTCCCAGAGGCTCAGGTGAGTACCACTAATCTGATCTGGTTGGGAGGTTAGTCAGAGGCTACTCGTTTCAATCCAAGTGATACCATTGTAATTAGCTAGTTATTAATAATAGGAAAGGAGCAAAGGGAAGGCCAGACATTATAAGCCTGTCATTCGGGCAGCTTCACCAGGAAGCTGCAACTTTGCAGTCCCCAGGAAACCACCAGCCTATTCCTTGCAAAATACTGGGGGAAGGAATCCAACAAAGGGAAGATAGACACATGCTCAGTAAAGTTGAGGTGACATAGGAAAGGTACTTTCCTGTCAGTCAGGCCTGCGGACAGAAGTCATTGGCTAGAATGAGCATGGCCACTGCTAGTGGGTGAAATTTGGGAATATATAATCCCCTAAACAAAGGAATTCTCTTTTGTTGCTCTTGTTGCTCTTGGTTCCTCTTGGTTTGTGGGGTTTTTTGTTTTGCTCCCACCCATGTTTCCTCCGTAGCCATGTGGCCCTGCAGACCCTAGATGCAGTGGACTATTGGGCTGCAGCAGGGAAACACAAATTAAGCTATCTTAATTTGCTGGATTGGACATTGCTCCAATATGGAAAGGAAACTCTGGACACTGGCTCTGATTTTAGCTCTACTGAAGTCCCAGTTGTATTTCTATCTTCCTTCTGTTGGATTCCTTCCCCAAGAGGAATGGGACTTTGGAAACTCAGGAATTTCATTCTATGCAAATAAAAATTACTCATTCTGCCATGTGAGTCTCAGAAAATTCTTTTTCTTGGGATATTGCAAGAACTCAACTTCCACTAGCAACCAAGAGAGATGAGGCCCTCTTCCCTCCATTAACAAAAGCAATTTTACTTAACAGGTTGTTAATCTCTGTATTGATTCCATGAAATTACAAGTTTAGAAAGAACAAGAAATACTCCTTTTTTTCCCTCCAGAAAAAAAACCAACAGTTTTCATTTTAATTCTTTCAGTGGCTTTATAAAATGTAACTAAACATAATTCTGTTTTGTGATCCATAAGAAAGTCTAAATGAAGTAGCACATTTTATTTTTATTAAAAAAGAAATACTTATATCCTATTTTACTTAGTCTGACACATTAGATACACAAATGTATGCTGAATAATCAATAAAGTCGTGTACACATCAGGATAGAGCCTTCTGAAACAAATTATATTAATTCTTTTTCATTTTCTATTTGGCTTTAAAATTCACATAGAATAATATGTGTATAAAAATTACAAGAAAATTTATGAAACAGGATGCTGATATAAGGGGACAAGATACAGAAAATATTAAAACGAGTTATGTGCTTTTGTAACGATAATAGACTAGAAGTGGAATGAAGTAGAATATAAATATCTAATACATTCAAAGACACACACAGATAGAAATTTAAACTTTGAAAAAGTTAATGTAAATAGAGAAGAGAGATTATTCAATAAATAGTATTGGAAAACTTAGGGATAGATTTTAATATAATAAAATCAAATCCCTACTTGCCATCAATCTCTAAAATATTTTTTACAGTAATTATATATATATGTGTGTGTGTGTGTATATGTGTGTGTATGTGTGTGTATCAGAAGTGAGTCATAAAGCTCTGAGAGAAAAACTAAATTATATGTTATATTTTTTGAAAGAGCAGATTGTAAAGAAGATTCATTCTTGGGCTCTCCTACTAACATACATTTCTTTCAGCATGTCACCTAAAATGATTCCACATTTCCATATTGGCTAAAGTTGTTCACCTCTGTGATGTGACAAATCCTCTCCTTGGTCTGTGATTGGTAAGGAGATTTTAATATCTGTGCAAGACTGGTATTGCTAGTGAGAAGGAAAGTTTTAATAATTCAGTAATTCCATAGATACTATAATCTAAGGTAAAATAGTATTTGGACTCACCACAGATAACACCCACTTGTGTCTTGCTATTGATATGTTTATTGAAAGGTAAATGAAGTTTCTGTACAAACAAGGGCTAAGGAAGAGCCTGACTGACATGGAGATCCTCGCTGAACCCTCCACTGGCTTATCTGAGAACAGTGAGTAAAAATTTCAGGGAGAAGCTAGCTTTATACTGAGAGCTCCTGTCCAGCTTTTTGCCCTTTTAATGGAAATTGGTTTTCCTGACCTGACCTGAAAAATGTTAGGACACATTTTCTAAAAATCTGCCTACACAGAAGAAATGGCAAAGAGATACAGAGATACCTTTATTTCAATTAAAAAGGAGGAAGGCACCCAGGCACACACCAAATAAAATATGGCCTCTTTCAGGGCTAAAATGAAAGATCAACAAGCTTTAGAAGCTGTAAATAATACTGGGATCCCCAAGCACTATGTTCTTATTTTAAGCCAGAGAAGACAGAATCTGGGGAGGTTTTATCATAAGAGTAACTTGTTCAAGGTTACAGAGTTAGGAAATACTGGTGGCTTCAGACTTGGCTTGTTCTGTGCCTGTTTCATGCTCTCAATGACAGCTCCACATCTCAGGTTATTGCAAGACATCTCATCTCATCTTCCATCAGGCCCACTGTTAAGTGTATGTCATGGCTCACTCTCCTTGGTGATTCACTTCTTGTCCTCTCTCCATTTTCTAAATTTAGCCTATTTCTATGAGAGACATCAACCTGTGTCATAGAAGGGATCTCAGGGGGTCAGGCCTTCAGGAAACTACTCTTTCTGCACCTGCGCCTGAGCCTGGGAGATCCCCAATTTTCTACATCTCAGCTTCTGCCTAGGGCTCTTTTGGCCAGAGGAAATCTTTCCTCTCACTGTTGTAGCTTTATTTTGTCTTGATTTTATCTAGGGAAGAAAGAGAACAAGGATGACCAGGTTGGTTTTTATCATCTTTCATCTAGGTCTCATTTTTATTTCTTCATCTCTGGCCAAAATTGCTTTCTTCATTCTGCCTGCTGCTGTGACTCATCTACATCCAAATCAGCTCTCAAGGCCTTTGACCATCAGCCTCACTTGCATCTGTACCCTACAGCTCCTCATCTGTCCCTCCAGGTTCCTACTATTCTGATTGAAACAGAGCACCTTGTTGTCTGAGATGTTGGAAATATCTCCTTTGGTTGTATTTGGTCACTTAGAGATCCACAAAGATTCAAGTATGTTCCTTAGGACCAAACTTCCCCTGTGTCCTTGGGCTGTGCACTCACCTAGAAAGCCAGAGGTGGTCAGGGTGCAGCACAGGGCAAAAAGAGTGGGACACTGGAGGCACAGAAATAGGCAAAAATTGGGCCTTTGATTGGGAAATAATGGAGAGGAGGAGAGAAGGGAAGCTTCATGAGTAACATCTAAACTCTGCACAGTCCTGATACTTAGGTAGGAAAAAGGTATTTGAAAGCAATAGAGACAGTCAATTTCATGTTGTTTTAATCAAAATACAAATGCCTTTTTAGAGTTTGCCATATTTCAGGAACTATGGTAGGTGTTGGGAATGTAAGTCACAATAAAGCAATGTCCTTGTCTTCATGGGGATTTATTTCTCGTGGAGGATGAGAATGAGAAGGTAGGTTTTGAAGCCCCCCTGATAAGATTTTGAGAGCCCTGGATAGCACAAAGGAAAGGAAACTGCCTTTCAGAGGGGTATGTATATTCACCAACCCTGCCTAAGGCAGAATGAAAATTATATCCTTGTCTGGTGTCCTGCTATGTAGAAATCCTGGGCCCTTAGGAAAGTTATTAAAATTTCGTCAGTGGATCCTGTGTCTACCATTCTGCCTTGAGTCAATCTAACAACTCATTCTTCTCCTTCCCTACAACCAGCCATACAGAATTCACGTAATGGTGCCCATACCCTTCTTTACATCACACCTGGACTCTTTATGCTGCTTAGACAACCCTGTGTGTGCCCCTTGTCAGATCCCATTGCCATTCCTCCCACCCCCAAGCTACTGTAAGCCTCCTCTACCTTCTTCAAAAATTATGTTTGTTCCTTATTTCCATCCTTATCAAATCAAACCCCAAATGCAATTCTCTTTTTTCACTGAGCTGTCAGGTATAAACTATACAATCTCTTCCATTAAATACACAAATTAGTACCTTACTGCCTTTACCACTGACTTGCCAGTGCATGGTTCAGCGTTCCTCCAAAGTTTGAGTTTATGCACATGTTTTGAAAGAAAAAATGAAGAGAGAATCTTTCCATATAACAATGGAAGGAGAACCTAGGACTCAGAACATTTCATGCACAGATCTCTGGTTCTACTGGCCAAAGAGCTATAAATATGCCTGAATTTACAAAGGAGACTTGCAATTTGGCACAAATACATAACGTCCTCTCTGATTTGTTTAATGATATCCCCTGTGCCTCTATTTTGCTAACCTGGTGCAAAACAATGCCTCACATTATATATACAGAGATAATTCAACCAAGAAAAAGACATCTTCATTCTTGTTCCCCGCCCTAATAGGCTCACTATACAAAGGGAATATGTGTGGTGATTTACAAAAGTTTAATTCTTACAAAAGTAAATTATAAAAACTTACAAAGATTGATTTTAATTGGGATGATACTGGAATAGATTATTTTGCCACTGGAGAAGGAAAAAAATAACAATTAAGAAATTAAGAGGAAAGTAAATGAAGCCCATTATTCACAAATGCTTTTTGCATTCGAAACTATGGGTAGATGTCTTAGACCTCTCTAGCCCATCCGTCTTCTATTCCCCAGTGATCAGACACCAACTTCCTTGGAACTTCCCATTCATTCACCCAGTGCACAGTGTATTAACCATACCTGAGCAGATGACCCCTGCGTCCTCCTTGTGCCAGCAGTCGTGCTTTCCCCAGCCACGGGAAGGGCACTTCCACACGTGGGACTCCTTTCCTGTGCATTCCACGTCATCCAGCCAGATCTGGCCTGATCCCTCCCCAAAGTGAGAAGAGCCCATGGCATCGAGGGCTTCTCCACAGCCCAGCTGTCTGCACACCACCTGGGCATCATTCAGGCCCCAGACATCATCACAGATGGTGCCCCAGGAGCCCTGGTGAAAGATCTCCACTCTGCCAGCACAAGAATGGTCCCCATCCACCAGGCGTAGCTGTTCACGGTCTGAGGAAAGAGTCAAGCCAATGGAGCATTTACACAAGGAAAGAGAAGGGTTTTCTGGGTCCTATGGGACCCTTTACATGAGCAGCTGGCAGAGCTCTTCTCTGAGGCTTCAGAGCCAGCTGGTTCAGAGACAGAGTTGCACTGTGGCAGCACCTGGGTCTGGTTTCCTACAGCAGCGATCAGAGAGTCATAGGGTTGAAAATAAGAAACAAAACAAAAAACCAAACCAGAAAAAATTAAGCAGAAAATAATCTGGTGAGTAGTCTGAGATAGAAAGTGTTGCATAGGTCCTGTCAGAGTCAACCTTCTGATTTGTAGAGTTTTGCATAGCATCTGAGAAAGATACACAGTAAATGTTAGAATCTCTACCCTGAGCACTTAAATGAGTTCAGAGTCACCATGATGGGCTAGCCGCCAGATAGATTTCCTATAAATCACACACACTTCTGTACCATTAACCTGAGAATTAGAAGAATTGGATTAAAGAGAATGGAGTAAGGAACTGCGGAGAGCTCATTACAGGCCTCAGTTAGCAGTCATTAACTCTATCCTGTTCAGAGTTCTTCTTGGTATAGTATTCAGAGCTGAAACATGAACCACGAGGCAGGCTGTAGTTTATCCCAGAATACTGCACTTGAATATTTTATTTACAATTCTAGGCTTTAGACTCCAGATCTGGATACCAGTTTCAAAAAATATACTTCTCTTTGAGTAGATCGGGGAACCTCACATGAGAGATGATATGATGTCAGATGATGTTAATTAACATGGGTCAGATACCACTGGGAATCATAGAAGGTTGCTTCTTTTCTCCTAATATATCTAATCTCTATTTGGACTTCATGTGAGGAATTGCTGTCATTCAAAATTTGGAGTTATTGTTCTCTGGGGGGAAAATATCATGTATTTCTAATCCTACCACAGAGCAGAAATAAACCTATTCCTGCCCTGAAAGCACTTGACCAAATAATTTTGACAGATCCACTGTATTATTATTCCCTTTGTTTTACACATGAAAAAGTGATATAAAGAGAGGTTAAATAATGTCTATCAATTTACTTTAAGTAAATGTTGAAGTAGAGAATAAAACCTATAACTTCTGCTTCCATTAAGAATGGAGTGGTTCACAGCAGACCAATGGTTCTACTGGGTCTAAAAAAGCTGGGAAATCTAAAAAGTAAAGGTATTAGATATTTGTGGATACAACATACATTAATAACTATGCTAAAATTTTAAAGATAGGAGATTAGTTCAGAATTAGCCAAAGATTAGTTCAACTTCTTTTTTTCTATGGTAATTTCCCAATTCAGTTCATGGGTTAATAGCACAGAACCTGGACTTAGGCAGAGCACCCCTGTTGGGACAAAGAAGCCTGAATAATTTAGGGGGTTACCTAGTGCTGGAGTGACAAAATTGGAGGCTTGAGGGCCAGTTTCACACAGCAGGCTTTATCCTCAAATATTTGCTCAGCATAAAAGCTGTGAAGGGCCGGAGGCCAAAGAACTATGTCAAAAATCTTGGAAAGCAGAGTGGATATTCCCTCATTCTCTTGGGTGCTATCCTACCAAAACATCTAGGGTCTCAACTGAAATCCCTGAAAGCCCACGCCAAAGGAACAGGGAAAAGTCAGAGGTAGACTGAGTGTTACAAAACAGCAACTTAGACTTGCTCCAGCTCATTTCTAGGTTGTATTCAGATATTTAGGTGATTAGTATCCCTCCCCCACCTGCCCAGCAGAACAGAAAATGAATCCTCGCACATGTTAGACAATATATCTGGAGTATTTTTAAATTTTTTTTCTATAATTTCTCACATTCAGTAAAAGTTGACATGGCATGGGACTTTTTACATAAAGAGAGATCACATGACAAATTAACAAAATGAAAGAAAGAGAAGGCAAATCACACATGATAAAGATGTTGAAATTAGCAGATATAGATTTTAACTATGATAATTCTAGTTAGGAAAAAGAAGGGAAGAAAGAATTAAAAAGGTGAAAAGATTTTTAAAAATTAACTAAATATTGTAAACATATTTAAAAAATCAAAGTAATGGTTTCCAACTGAAAATAAAATGTCTAGAATTAATAATTAAATGAATATAGTTTAAAAGAATTTTAGGTAGAACTCAAGAAATAATTAGTGACTTAGAGAAATCTTGGAAAGGAGAGAAGAGATAGAGGTTGAGGATGAGGAATGGAGGGAAAGAGAGGGGAAGAGGACAGATAGATGGAGTGAGATAGAGAGAGAGAGAGAGCACACTACAGAAGCAATATTTGAAGAGTTAATGATTGAGAATCTAAAAAATGTATGAAAGGTATATATAACTCACATTTTAAGAAGCCTCAAGAACCCTAAGAAAGATATGAAAAGCCTTACACCTAGTAAAGCTGCTGAAAATTAAAGGAGAAAAGGAAAATCTGGAATAATAACAAATGTGTCTAATATGAAGAAGGCAAAAAAGGAGAGAAAAAGAAATACAAAGCAGGTGGATCAATTAAAAGCCAATGGTAGATACTAACCTAACAGTATCAGTAATTGCATTTAATGCAAATGGATTAGATACTTCAAGTAAAAGCCAATCTAGATAAAAACAATAAAATTCAAGTAAATGCTATACAGTATGCAAAGTGTTATATACGAGGAGGGCAAAGACAGGTTGAAAGTAAAATGATGGAAAATGTACTTATATATGTAAACACTAACCATAAGTCAACCGGCTTAGCTATATCAGTATCACAAAAAGTAGACTTTTAGACAACATACACTAATTGAGTTAAAGAGTAAATTTTCATGATTATAATTGGATAAGCCCTTAGTAAAGATATTAAAGATATCAAAACCAACCTTTATTAGCATATCACCAAACCCCAAGGAACTGGAATTTTCAAGAAATAGAACAAGGTAGTGACGAACAGAACTTCTTGCTCCTATTGGCAAGAGTGGAATTTCCCAAAGAAGAGAGACAGAGACTTCTGACTGGAGGGGCATGAAATAAAGAGGAAACATGGGTTAGGGAAGGAACAGAAAGGTGAGGAGCATTGCTAAAGCAGCCAGAGACAGAGGCCCACACCTGAAGAGCTGGCTCTCTAAGCATGTGGCTGGATTATTCTCATTTTAGGAGCTGGCATGCTGATATCTTGAGTCGGGGCCTTATGGGGGCCAGATTTCATGAAGGATCTGGGGAAACTACAATGGAGAAAATTCACCATAGGACATTGATAAGCACAGGATTCTTTCTAAATGGCAGATTCTATAGGATATCACAGAACAGGTCTGAGTACCCCAGTGGGGCTGGAAAAAAACTGATGAAAAGAGGTACATCCTGAAGTTTGTGAAGCTAGATCCCACTTCTGTCTTCAATGCTAATATCAATCCATCTGAGAGCAGCTACATTCGGCATCACTTTTCTCTCCTGTACAATGGGGTCGGAGGACCATCAATACAAGAGGTAAGAAGGGAAAACATCACAGGCAGGAAGAAAAGTTCTGCCAAATGCCCAATGCTGGGGGAAAACTATAGTAAAGCAGAAAATTGTCTGAGCTGTGGATTTGTGGGGAAGAAACAGAAACTCAAAGTCAGACTTACATCGCAGGTTCAGCATTATCTGGGGGTGTAATTATAGTTCATACTGGGAGGGCTTTCTTTATAGGCGGGAAGGTTTCCATACCTGCCCTCATCATATACACAGGCACATGCATCATCACTACACTACCACCTCCACCACCAAGTCCAGCAGTCTGGCTTGGAGAGTGTGAGTTCTATGGATTCCTTTCTAAAACACTGATTTTCACTGGGCAGGCATATTTTTGCTCACATATTTAGCCTTCACATACCCTTCAAACTCCCCTTCACCCATTTCTCTCTCCCGCCTTCTCTCTCTCTCTTACACACACACACACACACACACACACACACACACACACACACACACACACACATCCATTGACTAAAAGAGCAGAAACACAAAAATACTGGTCAGGAGAGACATGATATAGAATGCAGGAAGGACCCAGACTGGAGTAGTCCCTCAGCCATAATCCATGACAGGAAGTGACCAGACATTTTCCGAGCTTTTAGGTGTGGAGAGAGTTGAAACACAGATTCAGATCAATCTAAGAACAAAGTTTACATTTCTGCAACATGACTTCTGAACTTGGGAAACAGAGTCCCCACAGGAGAAAAATCAACACTCACTGTCACTGAAGATTACCTTTGGTTAAAACCAAATGGTCAATAGAGAGGCGTCGTCTTTACAATCTCAGGGATCATCTCCCCTGGACTTTTAGAGCTAATCTAGTATTGCTGCTAATTTTAAGAAATGAGGCTGTGCTTACCTCGAGCAGTTGCTAGAACACTGAAGAGGAAAAAAGCAAGTCCTTGGAGAAAGCAGTGTCTATTCATGGTCGTTTTGACCCTCATGTCTACAGGTAACAGCCTCAGCTTCTTCAACCCATACAAGAGATCCTCCTGGTCCTTAATGGGGGCTCCTGCAGCAGGAAGCGGGTTATATAGTCTCATCCCCTGACATCGCCATCTTCTGGGAGCCAGTAGAAACCCTGCTTTACATCTTCCCTGCCATCAGAGACTACATAAAAGGTAACTTTCTGAAGTTCACACACCAATTAGATGCCGAATCTTAAATATCTCCTTATATGAGATACAAGGGTTTCTGATGTCACCCGTTACTCTGCCCCCAAAGCTGATACAGTAAATCTATATTAAAAAAAAAAAAAAAAGCGGTTGTCTTTTCTCCACCCCACAGGCCTGGCTCAATGGCTGGCTCAGCGCAGCTGGTGAGATCAGTCAGACGCATTGTTTCTGGGGCAGTTCTACCACCCCATGGGCCAAATAAAAATGATTTTTGTTAAATTAAGACTAGAGCTTCAATATCACGTGTTGTGGCTGCAAAGAAAGAAGAAGCATCTAACAGTAAGAACAAAAAGTCAGGTGAATAGAAAATTAGGATTAGAAAGATAAAAAAATTCTCAGGTAAATGGGAAAAAAAAGTGAGACAGACATTGGCTTCATAGGGTGGGCTTTCCTTTCATTTTACTTTTCGTTGGTTAGCGAAAGCCTCATAAATATTCAGAGCTTTTGATGGCAATTAAGTATAAAGTCTGCCTTTCTTTTCCTTTCTTCATATCACAGATAATTTTTTGTCCCCAAGACTACCATAATCAGAACAGACATTTCACCTAGGAATAATTATAGTTTCCTGGGACATGGTGGGATGACAGATTACAAATTAGTTAGAAAATTAATCCCCATTTTACAATATGGCGATCTGCACCTCACAATCTAGTCTTCAATGGCTAGAAAGTGCATGCCCTCCTACTTCTGGGTCCTTTTTGTTCCTATGCCTCCCATTCTTCTGTTCATTTTCATATGAACCAGTCCACTTTCACAATTTTTTTTCAGGCCTCTTTGAAAAAATAAATAAGGTGGCTCTCATTACAATGCTGGAAAATAGAATCAATTTTACACAAATTTCCTATCTCACCATTGGTATCAATAAAACAAGTACTAATGTTATCACTTAAAAATGTTTTTATTAAGATATAATTGACATTTAACACTGTGTAAATTTAAGGTGTACAATGTGTTGATTGATACATTTATATATTGCAAAATGATTACCATCATAGCATTAGTTAACACCTCTATCATGTCACATAATTATTGTTTCTTTTTTTGTGGTGGGAAAAATTAAGATCAAATCTCTTAGCAACTTTGAACTTTATAACACATTATTGTTGTCTATAATCACTATGCTGTGCTTTAGATCTCCAGGATTTATTTATCTACTGATTGCAAGTTTGTACCTTTAAACATCTCCCTAATTCACCCACCAGCCTCCCTGGTAACTACCATTCTAATTTCTGTTTTGAGATTTTTCTTTCTTTTTTTTTTTTTAATTTCACATAGTGATAGCATATAGTATTTGTCTTTCTCTGTCTGACTTATCTCACTTAGCATAATGCCCACTTAGCATAATGTCATCCCACTGGTTGATTTTTTGCTTTTGTTGCTTGTGCTTTTGGTGTCATATCCTTAAAAATCATTTATTACCAAGATCAATGTCAATGAGCTTTCACCTACATTTTCATTTTCTTGTAGGACTTTTATGGTGTCAAGTCTTATGTTCAAGATTTTAATTCATTTTGAGTTTATTTAAAATAGGGGTCCAAATGTATTTTTCTACATGTGGTTATCCAATATTCCCAACATTTTTGGAAGAGACTATCCTGTCCCCCTTAAATGTTCTTGGCTCCCTTGTCAAATATTAGTTGTGAGGGTTTATTTCTGGGCTCTCTGTTCTGTTTCATTGGTCTATGTGTCCATTTTTATGCCAGTACCATACTGTTTTAATTACTATACCATTGTAATATACTTTGAAATCAGGAAGTGTAATGCATCTGGCTTTGTTCTTCTTTCTCATAATTGCTTTGTCTATTCTATGTTTTTTTGTGATTCTATATGAATTTTAGGATTTTTTTCTATGTCTGGGAAAAATGCCCCTGGGATTTTGAAGGGATTGTGTTGCATCTATAGATGACTTTGGGTAGTATGGACATTTTAACAATATTAACTCTTCTAATACATGAACATCGGATATTTTCCCACTTGTTTATGTTTTTCTAAATTTCTTTTACAAAATTCTTGTAGTTCTTGTTGTATAAGTATTATTTTATTACCCTTTCCAGCAATTTTCCACTTGAATACTTTTTAAACTTGTAATTTAGCCACATTTTTACTTTTTAAAAAAATAGTCGTGCCCTAGTTGGTTTGGTTCAGTGGTTAGAGCATCAGCCTGAGGACCGAAGGGTCCTGGGTTCAATTTCAGCCAAGGGCCCATACCTTGGTTGCAGGCTTGGCCAGGTTGGGGCTCATGCAGGAGGCAACCAATTGATGTGTCTCTCTCACATTGATGTCTCTCTGTCTCTCTCTCTCCTCTTCCTCTCCACTCTCTCTGAAAAGCAATGGGAAAAATATCTTTGGGTGAGAATAAAAAATAAAATAAAAAATAGGCTTAATCTTTATTGGAAGTACTGTATAGATATTTAATTTCTTGGTAAATTTATTCCTATTTTATTGTTTTTTGATGCTATTATGAATGTGATGGTTTTCTTTCTTTTTTTTAGATGTTTCATTGTTTGTTTTTTAAAATTTATCTTTATTGTTGAAAATATTACAGACATCCCCTTTTTTCCCCATTGACCCCTTCTACCCTGCACCCACCCTCTGCCCCAGGCCTTCACCACACTATTGTCTGTGTCCATGAGTTATGCATATATGCATAAATTCTTTGGTTAATCTTTCCCACCCT